TTCAGAGAAAGCAAGCAGTTCCACAGCTGGTTTTGTTTAGCCAAAACTCAGGTTTTCTACTGTAGAATGTCTGAATGAATGAATTTGAATTAGACATGCATTATTGTGTGGCCAAACTAGGCCATAGGTGTCTTTAAACAAATAATACATGAAACATCTTCCTTCATTATAATTAAATGAAAAAGATTGGTCTACACTGGAAAAGTTTTGAGGTAGATAACAGAGTTTGGAAATGTACCATGGAAATGATAGTGTTTTAATTAGACTTGCAGCTGTGTTTGTCAGAAAAAAATATAAATCCTGTGAAAACTTTATTCTGAGCTGTGCTATGGAAAAGTCAGACCTGATATATGGGAAAATTCCTAGTCAAAAATTAATTTTCTATTGGGAAAAATAATTTTGATCAAAAAAACTTTGCACCAGGCCTTGAAGGACATTTGATGTTTCATTCTATCATAGTTTAACCCCAGCTGGCAACTAAGCCTCACACAGCTGCTCACTCTTTCCCTACCCCATGGGACAGGGTAGAGAATCAGAAGGGGAAAAGTGGAAAAACTCATTGGTTGAAATAGAAAGAGTTTAAAAGGTAAAGCAAAAGGAATGTGCATGCAAGCAAAGCAAAACAATGAACTAATTCACTGCTTCCTAGTGGCAGGTGTAATGGCTACTTAGGAAGACAGATGCCATAACTCTGGATGTCCCCCCTTTCTTCCTTCTTCCTGCAGCTTTTGTTGCTGAGTGTGACATCATAAGGTATGGAATATCCTTTCAGTCAGATGGGGTCAGCTGTCCCCCTGATATTTTATTCCTCAAAACAATCTACTGCAGTCTTCAACTACACTTACTTTTTTCCCAATATCTCATCCATTAAAGTAATTTTAGCCACCTAGCTCATCATTCCAGTCCTTGGTGGATAGGTAATCTCTTTAGATCTTTGAAGACCAATAACACACTTCTCTTCCCAGCCAAAATTCTTTCAGATTTTCCTTTTTTTGTTGTGTTTTTTTTTGTTTTTTTTGTTGTGTTTTTTTTTCCCATTGATAATGATTCTTCTTGGGGTTTTTTTTGAGCTCTCTGAAATTACTCCATAGCAAAGAAACACCCCTTAAGCTGATATTTCTCATTATCTATTTGTGGAGTCAGCTATTTTTATTTACCTTACATTTTGCTTAACCAACTTTTAGAGTGTTTCCCAGTTTTCAAGATTGTTTTAAAGTCTATGCTTGCTCTCTAGCATATTTACATTTTGATTCATGTTGAGAGCAAATTTAAGCAGTATACTGAATTGTGAATATATTCCTTTTAGTCATGGGTGATCTTATGGTAGTACAAATAAAAGGATGAGGAAGATGTCTACCTAATAACATAATAACACTAATTAGAAGAAAAAAGTATGAAAGCAAAAGTTTTCAAAGTCAGAAATAATATGAGATAGAGGTGCTGCTTAAAATAAAGCTTTAGGAGCTGGGTGAAAGTTTAAGCCAATGGTTGGCGTCTTTAGATTTCTAAGAGATGGATTATTTTGAATAGGTCTCAGAAATATAGTCTTAATTGCTACAATCAGGATATTTTCCAGGTAAAAATGTGTAGTCAATCCAACCACAAATTACCTGTACTATGTGTGCTTTTTTAGACAAAATATTCTCCAGAGATTTCTTTCAACCTTAACCGTTCTGTGATGGGTTTTAATCTTTCAGCTGTGAAGATTTTGCACACTGTAGTTTAGAAAGCAGTGACACGATCACACCAGGAGGTATCTCTATGTGTCTCAGTTCTTGGATCATTTCAAAGTCTTTCTGTCCCTTCTATTCCCTTAAGAAGTGTAATGAAATGCATGAGGAGACAGGTTTTTGGTATCGAGCAAAAGCAGCTGGGTGAACACTTGAGAAACCCTGAATTCAAGGACAAAAAAAAAAAAAAAAGAAAAAAAAAGACGACTTAAGGCAGTATGGCTACAGTGCCAAATGGCAAATGGCCTCTCATGGTAGTATGTCAATCAGTAAGCAACAGACTGTGTCTTGTTGGAAATAAAAGGAGCTGGCCAACATACACAATTCCTCCATCATTTATTTGTTAGCATAGTAGGAAATGTTGCCTGGAGAAATCATTGCAGGAGATGTCATAATGGTGTGGAAGAACAGTTTTTCAGGCAAGTTATGGTCTGCAAGTGGGGAGAATATTGAACATATGAATGCCAATGTTTTTGATTAGGATGGCTTAGTATCAGAGAAACAGACAGTCCCTCCCTCTCTCTCTCTCTCTCTGGAAGTGATAAGTTTTCTGAAGTGTAAGAGTAATCACCTGTCATCCAGGTAAGTTGTCAGTAACTTGCAGGTGAGTATATGTTAGTGTTCCTCAGGTTATGGGTGCTCTTCCTGTCTCATTAGGATAACTATAAATACAGAATGTAGTTCCAAGTAAAAAAGGGTTTATGTATGCACAAAGATGTTGCACCTGGTATCACTTGTATTGTTTTTTCCCAGCTACAATAAAGTGCCCAGAATTGTGGTGGTTTGTCCTCTGTTTTTTTGGAAGTGAACTCATAGTGTCCTGCTGTAGCTCCTGTTCTTGTCTTGACACAATGAAGAAATTGTAGAAAACATAAAGCAGTATGAAAGCCTAGTTTTACCTTTTATTACTGTTGAGTGTGAGAAGAGAAAGTCCCAGTGGTGTGATTGCTATTGCAGAGGCTCAGGGAAGTCAAATTATTAAACAAAATCTTCTGTGGCCTTTATTTCATCAATTTCTAAAATAATTCCTAAAATTAAGATGTAAATACATTTCTTTGTGATTTGGCTTACAGTGCCTGTTACAGTATCCAACAGATGTGTAACATTTTAAAGCCTTTTAAAAGCCAAATAAAATTATTACTTGTAAATTATTAAAAGCCTCCAACAAATGGAAAAATACTTACTGAAAACTCCTTCCTATATAATGTTCAAACTAAATTAAATAGTAGTATAAGGAATGCATTAAAGTTCACGAATGAGATATTAGGAGTGTGCTCCCTTAACCTTAAAGTTACAATAGCTGGAGCACTTGCTACCCCTCTGAAACCTTGCAGCTCCAAGCCCTGGCTCACTCTGGGAAAGAAACATGTGGTGCTGCTGAAGATTGGAAAAAGAGCTCAAGGTCAGGGGTCGACACAGTAAGGGAGTTTGCTCTTTAAGAGGTTATCTGTGGATCTGCAAAGCCAAAGTGTAATTGGGTTCTGTGATGTGATTTTAGTGTGTAATTGTATATGATCTTAGGTAGTTTCAAAGACAAGGTTGGAAGATTTTGCTAGCCTGCTTGTGATAGCAATTTTGGGGAATCTGTATAGCCTGAGATGGACAATGCAGCTTCTTCAGAAATTGTCATCAGAAGTGATACAGCTGATATCTGATTCATTTTAATTATAATTTTGGCAAACTGGTAACATGGTTTGTTCTTCTCCCTCTGTAATGCTGCAGGTCAGCAGTTTTGTGGGCTTGTACATTTTTTACAGCCAGTAAACTATTTGCTTCTGAGCTGGTAATGCCTCAGAGAAGATTTTGCATCTTTATTAAGATAGTACAAGTCACTGTAATTGATCTGCCCAGATATTGCTTTTTCTTTGGTCTTTGAGCAAATAATTTTCTAGTGGGTTATCAAGTTTTTGGTTCTTGATTATTCAAAACAATGTGAAACAAACATTTCCTATTGTTTTAGTTGTTTAGGGTTTCCTTGATTAAGCTGTCACCGCTGTCAGTTATGTTCTTATAAGCCTGCTCGGATCTATTTCATGTTAAGAAAAAGCTCAGATAAATCCAGGAAAGCTTAATGTTTATCCAATGTGAAAATAATTACTCAAAAGTGTTATTCTTAATCCAGATAATTAGAGTGAGGAAGGAGAGATCAGTGTCATTGTGAATTATGCCCTGGCAATTGACTCTTGGTCCTTGTAAGTTTCAGGTGAAGATGTGAATGGATAAAGGTTAGATTAACCATAATCCAAAGTAGCTGCAACCTTAATCTGTTATGATACAAGGATGATCACTTAAAAAGAGCTGGATTGTGGGATTGTTTCTGGTTGGATAAAATGCCGTTCGACTGGGACTAGTCTTAAAACACGCTTAGCACCATGTCACTGCAGCTGTAAGCACTTGTGCACGGTTTCAGCTCAGAGACAGGCTGCTGGGCTCTAGCTGCATGGTGTAACACTACACTGTACTGCAATATCTGTACTTTACATTAACACAATTTACCCTGTACTTCATGGAAAATAGATGGTAACTGTTACGTGGAATGATTTGCTCAATGATTACTTCTCTGTGTTGTTAAACATATTTCTTTGTGTTCCCTGTTTGAAATATTCAGTGTGTCTACAGGCAGTCATACTGTATAGTGGTATAGGTACACAATTACAAAAATTGACCAATCAAAAATCTAAAATTGGAAGAATATTTACTTTATCTGGTTAGTTTATACTGTTATTTTGTATAGTTGTTAATTAAAAAAAAAGAAAGGCATACCAGTATATGTCTGTATAAGGTTAAAATTTGAACTCTGTTTTTCTGTGAGGTTGCACGTTCTTCAGAAACCAGTTGTGAGTGAACAAGACAAATCAAAACAATTTATAATGCAGGAATAATGGCGTTAAAAAGGAGATATGCATGTATTTGCACATACTACAGGCAGGTGTGCAGAAAGTACATGATGCTTCAAAATTTTGCCTGTTTATAGATATGGACATAATAGTGACAGCTCAGATGACAGTGTGTGTGGTAACTCTTTGTAAATACAGACTCATGAATGCTCATGGTTGCTTATTGGGAAAAACACTGCTGAAAGAGGAAGAGAAAAGGGTGAAAGACAGGTCATTTCTTGAAAAATGGTACAGGAAATGTTTGGTCTCAGCAGATAATTTAATTGCATGGTCCAGTCTGTGTCGTTGTTTCAGGCCAAACGTAAAATAAGGTAAAGGCATTTTTTCCCTCCTATTCAATTTTTGTAATAAATTACATGCATTTATTCAGCAGGGATATATTTGTGCAGATCTCATCTTACTGGAAAACTGGAAGCAGCCTTCCTTGATGCATGGCTAAGGTGAAGAAATAGTTAAGAAAGTAATTAATGGAATGCAAAAGCTAATAAGATGAAAGTACTTTAATACACACTTGAGCTAGAATCTTCTCTGTGAATAATTAAAATTCTTTAAAGTTCATTTCTGTATTCTTAATAAAGTATACCTTAGTAAGACTCATTCCTGGGTTTGATCCTTTCTAAACTTAACTCATTACCTTCTTTTTTCAACTGTTGTTCTAATTGCATTAGTTTAAAGGAGCTTTAAGTAATGTTTATGTTTGTTGAGGTATTAAAAGTAAATTCTACAAGAGGCATATAATTCACAAGTCTTGTATCTAAGAAAAATATTATTCATTTAGAGCATCACATGAAAGTGTTACATTATTTCTAATGCCACATTATATGCTGTGGACCTGTATGTATATAATTGTTGTGTTCTCCTGCATCCTAGAGTTTCTGCCTTCAAAGTAATGCTTAGTGGAGATGTATGTCACTAATAAAAAATTCCAGACTTATGTCAGAAAATATTTTAGGGCAGGGATTTCAGTCCTCAATCTTTAGAATATGTCAACCTTTAATTAAAGTAGGTGAGGAAGAAACCTCCCTACTTGATGGCTCATTACAAGAGCGTATAGCATAGAGTTTCCCCACTCTTTTCAGCTAAGGATTTTTGTGATTGATATTAAAGGGACAACTGGTCTCCTGTAACATAGTGATTCTTACGTTAGAGAAAGAATAAAAGAAAGCAGGGGAAATTCCCTTAGCAGAGGGAATAAGGGCCATAAGAACTAAATGGTAGAATTACACCCCGAATGAAAATATTAACAAGGAAAAAAATGTATCTTCAGAGAAGGCATCACTTGGAGAGAATGGGGGGTTGCAGTTTTCCTTAGTGGAAAAGACGATTTAAGATGAAAATATAATTATAGACTTTATAGCTGGCCCCTTCTGCATCTTACAGGGGTAGACTGGTAGACCAGTTGCCTGTCTCAACCATACAATATCATGGAAATATCATTATTGATACATGAGGAAAGTAAACAATAATGGTAGCCCGTGTTACAAAGAAAAATGTACGACTACTAAAACCTTTGAATAGTTCAGAAATTCAAAAGGTCAGTGAAATGAAAAAAAGAAATAGTAGCACATTAAGTGTGTTGGATAAAAAGAGAAAGTCCTGTGAGTGTATTTGTAGTGTCAAAGACCAAGTCAACTTTGCACCAATATCTATAACTTTGGTTTCTTTAAATAGCTTAAAATTGCTTATATCTTTGTGATTAAAAAATAATGAAAAGAGGAGATACTGTAACTTGACCTATCAAAAAAGAAATAATGGAGATGTAATGAAATACTTTAAACATCAAGCTGCAAATAATCGCAGAAGATAGAGGGTTTTACTCAGAGGAAACTGAACTAAGTGGCAAAAATGTGACATTTATCACTTTAAAGAAGCTTCAGTGTTGAATGATGACCAGACTCTGTCAGTCTTTTTGAGTAGTGATGATCCCAGGAACCTCAGGGAATAGGAAAAGAGTTTCTGATGAATCAGACTAAGTATTGCTACAGGGAGGACAGACTGCTTCCATGTTCAGCATCTCCAATGTCTGGAAACCATACGTCAATGGAAAAAGCCTTGGCTGATTTCTCTAATTTTCCAGGATTAGTGGGTTTTTAAGGAAAAAATATGATCTTCTGTAACTTCCATTAGTGTACCAGAAAATGTAGTTCAAGAATAAACCAATTCTTGTAAGGACTTTAAACCTTAGCTACTTACTTGCATGTTCAACATACATCAAACAGCTACATTAGTATTTTGGATTTTTATTAAGTATTATAGAATAATACAGAAATAAATGCCAGAATTTCATTTGTTCTGAGACAGCACCGTAATTTACTGCCCATGGACGATTAAAAAAGAAGTAGGTACATAAGGACAACCATGAAACCAGTCCAGATTAGTCACAGCTAATCTATTCTTGTAACCCAACAGAGATTTCCAGTTTCAGAGAAAGGAATTTTACTTGTCTTTAAGACTAATTCAAAGTGAATTGAGCATTCATAGAATTTGCATTGAATATAATGCTAGTTTCTTAACTTGTATTAAACTGAGGTTTTTTAAACAAAAAGGATGGAAAGGCATAAAATTTATTTTGAGCCAACATATGTTTTTGTAAGAGTTTTCTATTACCTAGTTCTGTCCCACTAGACAGTAACAATCTTGTTTCCTTGGAGTTTTGGTACAGAAATACAAAAGCGACTGCTGAATCACACCAGAAGTAACATTTTGTCCATTAGCTGATTTCTGACAGCACCTGGCAAATTAGGGAAAGAGTACAACAACATGACAAATATAGAATATTTTCCATCTTCTTATGATCTCAGTTTGATAGATTTGTTTTTACAAACTACCTTATTGTTCTATTTTAGTGCCCTTAATAGTTCTCTCTGCAATAAATTTGCCAGTTTTATTTTAATACTACTTACACTAGTGGCAAACTGTAGCAATGAGTTAGTTTAAACAACAAAGTTTATTCTGAATTATCTGGGAAAAAAAAAAGAATTTCTGGTAAAGTCCTTATTGGAAATGGACTGCCTAACAATTTAATTTGATATTCCCTAGTTCTTCTGTTGTGAGACACAGTGGAAATTTTTACTTGAGAACATAAACAGTGAACAAATGCACTGCCGCTTTTCATCATGTTGAAGAGTCCCAGCCTAATTAATTTCTCTGTCTACAGAGTGGCTCATGTATCTTTGTTCATTCTTGGTCATTCTGGGTACACTTTGTGCCTTTCAAAGCTCTGCTATGTTTTCATGGAAGTCAGAACAGCATCCAGTATTCAAGAAGCAGCTGTTACACCGGTGACTTACAGTAGCATAAGAAATTTTTTGTTTGTCCTCTATTATTTACATATCGATTCTGAACATTTAATTTTCTTTTTCAATTTTTTTCCTTTTGCCACACTTTGAGCTGGCACTAATTGCTTACAGTGTGTCTGCAGCTGCTTTCCTGAAACTTTAGTATCCATCATTGTGTAATTCTTGTCTGCATTTTGCTTCATATTCATTGACAATGATTTTTTTCCTCAGTCTCATTACTATGAGATCTTTGTACAATCATATGTTTAACTTTTGTGGTGTCATTCATCTTTGTCATCTCAAAATTCATTCTTTTTTAAGGTCATTTAAGAGGCAGTTGAGGCATGGGAATCCACTGACAATTGTCCTCTGCTGTGAAAGCTGGGTTTCTTTTAAAGTTGTTTTCCTATTTCAATTTTTTTTTTTCAATGACATGACTTTATATCCTACTGTGCAGGATTACCTTAAAAACTGTTAGTAAGAGCTTCGCCACCCTTTTCTTTTTTTTCCTAAATTTTTCCTAAAAGTTTTTCCTAAACTTTTTTTTCCAGTTTATCTGGCCAGAGATCCATTTCTGCTGCTGCTCTAGCTGAGTCCACAGACACATTTCTCTAAAAAGGCTGGTCAATCTGCATGCAGCTTTTCTTTGCAATAAAGTACTCATCTTGCTTAGATGAACTTTCACTGCTGCCTCAGATGTTTGTGAAGACATGGGACAGCTTCTGAAGTTGGAGGATCAGACCTTACATTTGGTTTGAGTTGTGGGTGGCATGTCAGCTTGGCTGCCTTTTTGTTTGGATGTTGCTTCAGCTAGGATAATAAAATATGTGGGAATTTAATTCCTCAAAATTGGAAATCCTTGTCATTAAGGATGTTGAATAACACTGAGTTCTTCTTCAAGCTCTCTATCATTATTATTTCTTTTAAATGCAATTCAATAACCTTGATGGAGAAACTGAGAGTAATATGAAAGTATTTATTTAACTGTTTTGGTTGCTATTTCTTCACTTCTGTGTTACTTAAACTCAGCCTTGCAAGATTGATCAGTAAATTATTACTGGGATAGTTTTTTAGAAAATGTGTCTATCAAAAGTTGTTATCCCAGAATGTTTTTTTAAAAAATATTTCCTGCATTAGCTCTATGGAAACTGGAAATCCCTAGTCTAAACAAGAGGGTTAACACCATAAACATTAGTAGATAAGTACACATCTATATATACGTATTTTTAAAATGGAGTATAAGCTTCTAAAAAGTACCATTACTTAAGGTAAAATCTTCTCTGCTGTAACCAGTAAAATGACTGAAACTACATTTTATAGATATTAACATATACATAAAATAGAAATTTCATGAAAGGAAACACAACCAGACATTGTCTGTAGCTTCAGTTAAAATTTTCCATATAGTGCTCTCCTGTTTCACTGTTCTGCATTAATACTGATAAGTTATAGCTTTTACCTCCCTCATGGTCCCTTCACAATGAGAGTTTTGCTGTTAAGCACAAGATGACAATGAACAAAGGAGTGTCAAGGAGATCTCTGTTAAAAACAGAAATGGAATTGCTATTTTGTAGAGTTTGTGAGTAAAAAAAATAAGTGAATGAATGCTTCTTGTTGTGAAATAAATTCACTTAGAGGCACCTTGTAGTGAAACCAATAATTATGGTATTTAAAACAAACAACTTGATCGTGTTTTCTACTTTTGGGGTTTTGCCCCAAAAATGGAAAATCTCCCATGTATAAGGTGTTTAAAGGAATTCTTTTTAAGGTTCTTTTAGTTCTCAGTCCCATTGTGGTTGCAGACTTGCAAGCCAAATAGGACACAGTCATTTATATAATATGAAGCTAATAATCTTCTGCCCCTACTCTATGTGAAATGTTTGAACTAATAAATGTTTGATGTCTGAAATAATAAATCCTATGATCTCTGCGGTGACCCTGTCAGGTGATTAATGTACATTTCAGACAAGCAAAGTCAAATAAGAAATTTTCTTTGGTTGGGACACCTGTCCCAGAACATGTACCCTACGGCATAGTATTTCTGGAGCTCATCCTATTCATTGTCATGCCCATAAAGAAAGCTCTTTTCAAAATTCCACAGGTCTTACGTATGGCAATAATAATCTAATACATAACGCAGAGAGAGTAGAAAGAAAATATGTTTCTGGTTTTGCATGCTCTTCAAATGCAAGCCTTTCAAATACTGCAGGATACAAGGCTGTTCTCATTATTGCATTTCTCATGTACCTGCTTTAGCTTGGGTGTCTGGATGTGGTTTGCTCCAAAAAGGATGGAGTTCTTCTCCTGAGAACAAGCTTTCTTGTAAGTTTTCTCATGCTTCCTTGTCCTGATCAAAGGATTATTGCTGTGAAAGTTGTTTCTTTTGGTGTTTTCCATCCCTGATTCCCATCCTAATAATAAAAAACATGCAATAAAAAAAATAAGAAATTGTAAAGCAAATTAGTTGGCTTGTTTCAAATCAGAGCATTCAGGCTAGCTTTAGTTTGGAGCTTTGAGTGCTAGTTCAGGTTATTTCCAGCAGTATCTGAAATGATTTACGTATGGTAAATATATTAGGAGTCTGATTTTCAGATAAAACTTGAGTACACTTTTTTCCCCTCAGCCTTTACATGAAAGGTTTTCAAGCAGTGGAGATTACTCTTCCCTGAAACACGTCTGAGATGTGATCAGCACCATACACACACACACTGTACTCTTTCCTTTTATGAATTTCCTCTTATTTCAAATATCTAAAATATCAAAAATACAGTTCTATTTTCTTTCTGTGGCTTTCTATGACTCCTTTCTTTTTTCCCTTTTTCTTTACACTGGGTCTTGGTTTGTTGCAGGTTGCAGTGTTGCATAGGTTTCATAATCTGTAAACCCTTCTGAGCTATTTTATTGTGCAATTGCTTTTGTGTGTAAAGGAAGGGACTCAGAGAAGTAGACAGTGCCCTGAAAGCCTGTTCCTAGATCTCTGTGAAAAATACTGTGGGTCCACAGAGTAGAAGTTTATATACCAGTTAAACACCACAAAGACAATAGTACATCCCTAGTTTTCTCTGCTCTGGAAATCGGAAGGATTTACTGCATGTGTGTATATATAAGTAATGGCAGCACTAGGCACTAGTAGGCAGAATTCTTATTTCAGGTGCAAGTGCTTTGAAACAGCTTGTACTGTATGGGTGAAATTCTGTAGTGCCAAACTCAGTGGTAAAACATAAGAGGGAAGCATAGCATAGGGGAAATTTGTTTTGTTCATCTACCCATAGGGCTGCAGTATAAGATCTTGTTCTTGGTGTATGCCTAGTTTGCCTGTTTATCCAAATCAGAAGTTTCTAGATACATGGGGAATTGCCAAAAAGGCGTTTCTGGTCTATGGTTTAATACATGTTGGGACACATCTTGTGTGTCTGAAATAAAGTTAGGATTGTATTAATTAGTACCACTCCTGATGTAGAGCAGTTTCCAAAGGCAAAGAAACAAGGAAAGACAAGGAAAATCTATGTAATTGAGTTCCAGTAGGCCTGCAGTGAACTTAATTTAATTTTGCCATTTTCACATTTCTCAGACCTTTAGGGCTCTAGAATCAGAAAAGGGAAGGACTGTGACCATGTGAGGACTTCTGCTCAGCTGTGCACAGCAGAAGTGTAGAGGAGTATAGCAAAACCAAAGTACAGTATATGATCCTTTTCTTCTGCAGAACTGGATATGGTTTAAGTGTGGCTTTGTTAAAACAGAAATAAATAAACCTAGAGATTTTTTGATTTGCTTCTTTAAATGCTGATGCTTCATTCTTTCACACAAGAAGCCACTAAGTCATCATCATATAAGAAAATGGCACTTTCAGGATGCATTTCTTCTTGTAAGACCGATTCCTAGAATTTATCTGATGAACCATCCTGTAGATCTGCCTATTTCATTCTTTTGAATAAAAAGAGGTGACCAATATGAAGGTCTATATTTTGGCATCTAAGGTAGAGGGGATGAATACTGCCCTTTGCGATTGAATACCTCTAAGGAAGATTTAGGGGGAAAGAACTACAGCTGCAGTGTCTCTTAACTACCTACTGTGTTTATCTGCCCAGTCAGAAAGTAGGTGAAGTGTGGCATGTTGTTAGTTTTTTCTGTTTTCCCTTTAGGGAAGAGAAAGCAACTAGAGAAATAATGTAAGTGCCATGTTTACAGAGTAGCCCAAAGCTGTAAAATAAGGGGGGTGTGTGTGTGTATATATATGAATAATGTGTGTGTATATATATAAGGGGTGTATGTATATATACTACAGATATAAAAAATAAGGTGTATATATATATATAGCTAGGGTAGGTTGAGCCTGTTTTGTTGGGGTTTTTTGTGGGTTTTTTAGTTGTTTTATTTTTAGGAGTACAATTTGCTTAGCAAAACCGATATAATATGCTGGTTTTGGCAAGCCCCTCTTAATGTCACACTCTCATCCTTTGCCTTTCTTTTACATCCCCCCCTCTCTTTCTTCCTTCACTAATGTATAAACCACCTGCACAACTCCTGACTAAGTTTCTCTTAGAGTAGACTCCAGTGTTTGGTTAAGTCACGGGAGACGTGGGGATTTGTGCAGTCCTCTCGCTTACGCGCTGCGGAAGTGATGACAGAATAGTCCCGACAGTCACTAGAGAAACTGACACATCACACCCAATTATGTGGCCTCCCTGGCCCCTCACACCATTCTTCCCTGAAATATAAGCTTTCTGTCTCACGCTCTTTATTATTTCTTAAAGAAATTTGTTATTTAAAAGAAAAGGAAAAGTAGTGTGTGTGGGGGGAAGGAGTTATAACGTGTATCATTCCTAAAGAAAGCTATTATAAAGTAGGTCTTCAGGGACATTAAATATATCAGATTAAACATAAATTAAGCATTTGGAAATTTTTTTAAACCTCACACAGGAAAAAACACCAAATTTAAACTGATGGTAATAGAGGAATCAAGCCTTGTCATTTACTGTGACACTGCCCATCAGTTGTCTTGACCTATTGGGAGTTATTTGTCAGTAATTACAAAGTACATGTATATACACTAATCTGTATCTGCTCAGTATCCCACACAGTATTTAGTCAGCTGTAAAAAAAGCAGATTATTTTTCATGCTAGTTCCACATATGCTATCAAATACAGCCGTGTTTTTATTTCTTTATTCCTAGAAGGGTCCATCCCTTGAAAGTGAGATTGAGTGTCACAGCTTCCTTCCCCTTGTACTACAACGGCTGATACACAGAAGAACAAAAGCAAAGCTGACTTTCAGCCATTTGATTGTATTTGTAAAAAGAGGACTAATTATAAATAAAAATATATGTTGCTGTTGTAATGAGGTGCATTCGTCCTCCAATTGGATTCCAGGTTATAGACATGGAGCACCGATTACCAATTTTATAAAACTACCTGAGCAGAAGCTCTCTCTTCTGAACTTGCACAGAAAACTTTTGTATTACTAAATCAACTGTAATTAAAGTTTTTCTCTAATAGCTAGTACTTAAGGTGCACAAAGGGCTGTATTTTTTTTTTTTTTGTTCTTTGTTAAGTCGGTTTCCCTTCTTTAAGTTTTGACAGCTATCCTAAGGCAGCAGGAATACAACATTCACAGTGTAATTATTTGGCAATGATACACACATCTTTGCTGTGAACCGCATAATAAGAACTTGAGGAGTTTCCAGGCAACAAAGACTTTTCTGCTACTCTTTCCAGTCTGAGACAGGGAATATCCAAAATATACAGGATAGTGAAAGAGGGAAAAGGCCAAACCCAAGAACATGGAAAATGGTTACAGACATCACACGGGAAAACAAACTAAGAAGAAAGGAATGCATGGTACAGGAGTTACACTGTATGCACATTTTCTGGCTTTCAGTTTTGCAGCTATAGAAGTAAAAAATGGTGGGACAGCAGTGAACTGTCTTCCCAGGAGATCTTGGGAGATGCCCCCCCATCCCCTCTCCTGAGGCTCAACCAGGAGCTGGCAGAAGGGACCAGCATTCTCTCCTGGCTCCCAAAGCACTCCAAGGGAAGCTCACGCTGTCTCAGCACCCTGGTGTCCTGAGGAGCCACCTTGCAACACCAAACTCCTCCTTTTCTTCCTTTTCAATCTTTGTTGATTTGCAACAGAGAGAAACAGATTTGTGCCACTCCAATAAGTGATGCAGAATCAGGTGGAGTGTGGTACCAACTTCTTTTTGACTTCAGCTCTTTGACGGAAGTTCTGGGTCCAGTGCCATAAACCTTTGCATCCTTCTCTAGTGACTGCCACCAGCACTTGTTTCTCCTCTCTCCACCCTTGATTGCCTTTCCGCATATCAGAAACATTGTCATTTTAAAACGTCTGACCTGAGAAGCTTTACAGTCCCCTTAGCACTCAGATGGGTAATGTAGTAAAATACAAAAGGTGCCATGTGCCTTGCAGAAAATGACAATGTATTTGTTGTTATCTGCTTGAGCAAGATCTTCATCTAGCTGAACTTCCAGGACAACCACAGGCATTCTAATGTGAATCAGTATTGACCTGCAGCTCTTTGGCCTCCTGCGGATGGCAGTTCTGACAGCTCCTCCCTTCTCCCTCTGCACTAGGTGCACTGATTCACCCAGTCAGTGTACTTGGACCTAGCACAGAAGATGGGCCATGAAGAATAACCTTCTATTGTAAAGAAAGTGACTGAAGCCATGCCCCAGTCCACTGCAGGTTCAAGTTGAGTCTATAATACAAGCCCATGAGAAATAATCAGGTGAGAATTTATTTTGTGTCTTTCTCTATGTGAAAGCAGGGGAGAAGATATTAATGATTTTTAAATTAACTATTTATTATGTATGGCTAGAAAAAATATGTTTGTTTCCAAACCTTTGGTTAAATCTGTGGTTTTAGTCATGAGGCGCTAACACTGATGCATGTTTGGAAGCTGAATACTGAATACTGAGGCACAATTAAATCCTTATTCATACCAATTAGTCTACTTCTGTATGAATAATGGCATTGACTCAGTCCATTATTAGTACAAGACTACTTATCATATGGAAGGATCTATTTAGTGTGGAGATCCAGTAGATACCATACTATTTTTTAGGACTGTAGGTTGTTATCAACTGCTTTTTAACAGAAGTCCTTTTGAAAACCCTTTACATTTGCATGGTCGTCAAGACCACAGAGGCACATTGTACTGTCTGGGATATTTAGAAAGACAGAAATATTTTCTGAATGTCTTTTAATGTTTAGACAAAAACTCTGAAATACTCCCTGTCCAATTTGCATTCTCTGGCCAGTGTTGTTTGGCCAGTTAAAGTGGCAACTGTTTGTGACATTGTGAGCCTTAAATCTGGCGATTCACTGTGTACATCAGTGGAGCCTCAGTGAAATGGGGTGTGATGATCTGCCCTCAAAATGCAATGATATTTTCACTGTAGCCTGATAGCTAAGGAATAACTATTGGTAAGATTATCAGAGTATCACAGAGAGGACCTGCCTTGGGAAAACAAACAAGAAAAAACCCTGAAGATTCAAAGTGTTGTGTTAGAACTAGATGAGAAAAAAAAAATTAAATTATAATTTTAAGTCAATTTCTGTGGCAGGGTGGAGTCAGACTTGGAGTGAGTGATTTCAGAAAGGAGTCATAGTATTGCAAGCATAGTTTTATATACTTATTTGCTAAATGGATGATGAGGTGATGATAATGTTAAATTGAATAGCCCATGTGTGACGTACATTGAGTAGGGAGCAATGGGGTCTATGCATGTGCCTATGTGAAGGATAGTATTAGAAAGGAAATGTTTAGATACACAGTGGGGATATGACTGTAGTGCATGCAAAAGGTTATCTAAGAATTTGAGGTGAAGCATGGTTTAAGATACAGGGATTATCCATTTGAGAGCTAATATATATTTCTGATGGGAATGGGTTACCTTTCCAGTGTGAAACCACATATTACAAATGCACTACGTATTCTGCAGAATTACAGTCTTAGTTTGTATTCTTTTCAGAAGCCTCTTTAAAACTGGCTGCCTGAAGTCTAAAAATATATTCCTTGGAAGGAGAGAAAAACATGGAATATATTTAGAAATATTTAAATATAACTTCAAATAGTTTTCCCATTCATTAAAAGTTTGCTTGACCCGAAATGTCAGGACCCACCAGTGTGAAAAACAAGAGAGGAATATCTCTTGTATCACCTTTCCACTGGTATAAGCTCCGACTTCGAGCCTGCTGGAGCAGGAGGTGTCTGGAGTTAATCCTGTAACTGCAACTGCTTTTTGCAGCCCAGCCTCAGTGTATTTTGAGATTTAAATCCACAATTGAGGAGGAAGAAGGAAACATTCATGATGTTTTTTTTCCATAGCAGCTGTTTGAAACTGTTAACATGCTTGTACCTTTACAAGTAAATCCAGGGGGAAAAAGAGACTGAGAGGCTGTTCGAGTGCTGAGACGCACACAATAAATGTAGCTAAATTCAGAGGTTTATTAGATAAATATGTCATTGATAATTGAAAGAAGAGGTAAAACTCTGTAAGGAGATTTGCACACACATTTTAGCTCTCCTTGGAATACATGGTGCACCTGCTGAACATAGGTAAAACAAACTTGTGTGCAAAAGACTGTTATCTACCCATCAATAAAAAAGCAAAGTTGTGCCTGCACAAATTCTTATAAAGGAAAATCAGTATTTTCCCATTGGAGAACACACCTTTCATTAATCAGACATATTTAGCAATTCTAATTTAGAAAACTGTCTGAAAATATAGATCTGTGTTTGAAATCAAGTTAAAAAAATGGGTTAAAATCACATATTTAATTTATTAGAAATATTATGAATGCTGCACATAACCTTTGCATTTTTTTTGTTAGCTAGGATTGATGAGATATGTCTATGATACAATGCTGTTTGTGATCTAGTTTATCAGTGGGAAAAGTTTATTTTCCTTTCTTAATCTTGAGTGTCATGAAGAGTAAATTTTGAAGGGTGTGCCCAAAAATCTGAAGAGAAAACACCTAGACAGACTGCACATTGATTTTTTACTGATTGCTGTTATTTTTATCAAAAGTTTTTATACATAAGGTTCTTATTGTCCATGTAGAAAAGGGGAGGTAGAATTAATTTCCTCTTTAACGTATTGATAAACAACTCCAGATATAGTGGTAGGGGGAGGAGGAAACTACATTTACCTTTGTGTGACCTATATAGGAATGCTGGAAAAATTAATTCCAGAATATTATGGTGACATTCCTTTAAGTTGTGGATATGATTTACATAGTAGGTCTTCTTGAGCAGACCAGCTTCTTTCATCTTGATACTGTAAATTGCTTTCATTCCCTTCCCCCCCCCCCCCCCCCCCCCCCCAATCTGTATGCTTGAGGTATTGTTGTGATAAATTATGGAGGTACAGAACTGAAAATGGTGTGTAGATTGTCTAAGAAATTGAGTGCAGTCAGCCTTCAAAGTGGTGGATGATGTGCTAAAACAGCTACCTTCCCCTAGTCAGGTCTCACATGTCGTCAATGAGCAGATGCTTTTAACTTTGCCTTTTGCCCAAAGCACTGAGAGCAGCTGGATTTATTGAATTAATAACTGCTCCATTTGGGGTGTTTTGTTTTCCCATGACTGTGAAATCTGGCTATAATGTTAGCAAAGTGTAAGACAGGTCTCATTCACCAAACAAGGTTGTGTCATTTTTGATATTATATAATGTTTAATCTGTAAGGCAGGAAATAATTGGAAAACTGTACCTGTGGGGGAATGAAATGTTTCTTGGTAAATAAAGTTAGGAAAAAGGAGAGAAGCAGATAAAAATGATACACCCATTCTGAGTGTGATTTTGAAGACACTTGTACCAGCCCTCAAATGAATCCCTTTGATTGGAACGTTTAGTAGTGGCCTCATTCTACCACCTAATGTGCTCTAAACAGTGTTAGAATGTTAGCAGTAGTGGTCAAATAAACAGCTACGGTGCTTTGGACCAATTTTTTCTTCTCAAGGCTCTGGATTTCACGAGGCTGGAGGAGAAACGGTAACAGCATGTTACGCACATGGAGAAGGGTGAAGCAATGGCCTCTGTTCCCTTTGACAACACAGGCGTGAAGGATGTGTCCTACCACAGAGCTTTGGGCCAATCCACTTAATATACTTTTCTTTGGGTTTCTGTCGGTAAGGCTCACTCATTTTCTGGAAACAATACGGGAGGTAATGCCTTCAGGTTTTATCATTCATAGCACGTATTGATCATTCTCACATTATGGTTAGTTTGCCATGCTGAAAGTGCTGGAATTACCTTATTGCTAATGCAAAAAATAATGTTATACCCATGGGGGGAGTTATTCAGCTGTTCTTTTTGGATAGAAAAAGAAAAGAGAAAGAAGGAGTTATTCGGAATACATATCTGCATGTGAAACCTTCTGTGTGCTCTAGTTACCTTGAGTGGAGCCTGGTAAGCCAGTGTCTTCCTCAGTGTGTAAAAAGGGAAGTCTTAAAGCACTTTAGGCCTTGCTGACTTGGCTTCCTGCAAAAGATAAATGGCGAAATAGGATTGACCTCCAAGCTATCATTTCTAACCACCATGAGTACAGTTCTAGCCGTATTTATTAGCTAAGTATAAACTGTGTCCCCTGAAGAGATGTGTGGCTGCTGTATCCCTGGCAGAAACAATTTACAGATACCTTCAGCCTCCTAAAGACTTTGGGAAAAGGTGGAGGTGATTTGACCTGCTAGAGCTAAAGAGCTACATCCCACTTTCAAAAGCTCACCAGTCCTCATCATGCCAATCCTCCTGAGGGCTTGCATTGGTATGTGCCAGCCTGATGCTACGTCTTCTAATTCTGAAGACGCTCTCTTGATGAAATCTAAGGTTTTATCGAAACTGCAATCTCCTTTCTAGCACGGTGAAATTAGCCAGGTTTTAGATTTTACTTTACTCATGTTTCTTATGTGGGTTTTATGTCTCTGGGTTTTCAGAGTTCTGCAAACAGACTTAAAAATAATTATTTTGATTTATACTATTTGTTTAGATTTATGTCTTTATTATGGAAATTACTGCCCTAGTAATTTCTACCCGTAGAAGTAAAAAAGGTAATTTTTACCCAACCAATTCCCAAATTGCTGTAGAGGTAGTAAAAAATGTCTCAAGAGTCTAGCTTCTATGCTTAGATATTTTCAGAAATGAGGCATATCACAAATGTTATGATGTGCCAAGTATTTCCTTCAGCTGCTTTTAATTGTGATAGAATACCAGAATGATTCAGGGTTTTCCTCCAGGAAGCCAGAGAGTTCAAATTCCTAATGGGAAGAAAGGCAATTTGTTCACAAAGCAGCTATCCAGTCTGCAAAACAATTACCAAGAAACTTGAGAGGGGTTAGGATGAGAAAACACAATAACTTCTCTCCTTGTTTTGTGTGTACTTCTTTGTAAGCAAACAGTTCTGTCATCAGCTCTTGCTTCTTATGGAAACACTTTTATTTAGGCTTGACATTTTGGGGTTAAAGAGGTCCTCCTTTGCCTCCTCATCCAGAGCTTGTTTTACTCTTTTCTTTTGCTTTGGAATATATGGTATGTACTTGAAATACACAAAGCGCACTCGGGAGTGGTGTATTCTGCAGATCAGTATCTTCAGCTTGTGTTCAGGTGCCTAGGTAGAAGTGCCTTGTTAGTGAGCATCTGTGAAAGGTTTTCTTTTAGAGATGCATATTTCTGAAGAAGCTAATTCTTGAGTGAGAGCTGCTCTGATGATGAGATGAGATGACCTCATGTCATATTCTGTGGTGGTCAGATTCCTTTTCTGCAGACTTGGTAACTTTTCTGATGGATGAAGTAAGGGTATAGTTGTTTCCTTCAAAGTCTATATCCATCTCCAGAGAAGCTTGGTTCTGTACACTGAGTGAGAAGATGAAGATTATAAGACTATAAGTCTTGT